TTTTTCCCTTTTGGGCTGTGGCTCAGACACAGTTGTGCTCTCCTCTTAGTCTCCTCAACATTTTGGTCATAATCACCCCAGTAGCTTGGGTCCATGAATGTTCTGACTTGTTCTGGAAGTGGTCTGTGCTGTTGCTCTGGTGCTGTACAGAGCAGACAATTTCAGTTTATAATTGTTGTGTCTGTCATCCGACTAAGTATTGACAAATTAGAAATGACTAATTGGAGTTTTTTTTATTTGATAAATGTGGGTGCTGATACGTGAAAATGAACTAAATCATTTTTGTTTCTATTTTTAAAAAAAGGCAAAATGATGGTGAGGGCTGTGGGCATGTAATGAAATTGGTGTATGCCATAACACTGTGTAACAACAGTGACACCCACTACTGCGTCAAGTCTAGTTACAATATATGAATTAAAATCAAATAAATACCAGCTTTAATAATACTCACAGAAAACCAGAGTATGGCATGGAGTGTGGCACATCTTTACAAATACTGTATGATGTCATTTTATCTTTCGCCTTATCTCCTACAAGATATACCACTAATCTTCTTTTCTTAATACACTGAGGAGGACATGCATTTGCTGTACAAAAAAAAAAACTTTGACACTGGTTACACGGGTTCTAGTCATTGCAGAAATGATAACTGTTCACTCGAAGGCAGGACAAACAGCCTACTTTTGTAGCCTGGCTGCATAACACTGAATCCCTGATATCTCTACAATAACTCTGTTTCTCAATGCAATGCATCAAACTAATAGTATGGTGTGGATAAAAGAAAGAGGAGCTCAAACCCTGCTTTCTTTTGCACCTCTCCACACCTGGCCAATGGTGGCGAAAAGTGGGTGTTATGGTTGCATTTTGTATTTCAGAAAGGTACAAAAATTGTTTGGTGCAGCCCCTCGATTTAGCTGTCATAAAGGAGTTTTTCAGAGGCTGTTGACAATCCACTGATTGGCTCGTTTAAAAAGCCAATGTCCTGACTTGTGCTTTTACTTTTGCATTATTTAAAGGGGACTTTACGGTAAAAAGGTAAAAATATGTAAAAGTAATCCCTGTGAGCAAAAACCTCGGGTTCCAACCACTCTGAATAGTCTCCTGATCTCCTTTTTTCTTTTTGGTTATAAGCTGCATCACATCTTGACAGATTTCTTTATGCAGTCATGTGCTCCAGGCATGCTACCGCAAGTGTTTACATTATGTTGCCTATACTGCTACATGTAACAACATGCTAGCTTTGGGGAAACATGTAATTTTAGATACCAGTGTTTTTAATTTCTCCTGGATTCTCCTTATTCCTGCTGGAACATGTCTGGTTATTTTTAGAAGCTTTTATTGGTGATACTGTATGGGCGAAAGTACCGCTGTACACAGTCATTCCCCGACTGCAAATACACTGCTACATGTAGCTACATGCTAACATCAGGGAAACATAATCTTGGTTGCTGATGTTGTTAATATCTCTGCGATTTTGGATCATGTTCCTTCTGGAACATATCCAGTTGTGTTTAGAAGATTTAATTGGTGATTCTTAACAGCAGCAAGTGCCACTATACTCTGTTACAGTAATGTCCCCAGCTGCCAAGACAATGCAGAGATGCTGAGATGTGGAAAACCTGGGAATGCTGACCAATCAGAGCAGACTGGACTGTTTTTTTTTTTAAAGGGGGGCTAAAAGACAGGCGCTTTAATGGAACGTTTCACACAGAGGTTGATTACAGGTGTTCATGCACAAATGTGTGAGGAAAATACAGTGTTTTTGACCATTAAAGCATGTAGACATGTTCTGGTAGAAACCCAAAATACAAATATGAATAAGTATGATGGGTCCACTTTAACCAAGATCTTTGCCTACATGAAAATGTTGATCACACTTTACTTACCAGGAGCAGCTATGTAGTGAAAATTATGAAACACACTGAAAGTGTTGTGTTGGCAGTGTTGCATCTTGAAAATACTGAGTGCAATCATTTCTCCAAATGGACTGTAAACTGAAGATGTTGCAATAAAATAAACGACCCAAAAAATATTTCACTTTAATGTAACAAAGAGGATATAAACATTTTTTAGTGCACAAAACAACACATGAAGTCAGTTTAGGCCAGCCCTCTGTCATTGTCCACTACCTCACTAAGACAAACCAGGCAGAGGGGATCTATTACGAAACAAAAATAAAATAATTATACACCAGCATTGCCAACTTGATGCCGAGTCCAAGGTCTCAAAGCAGAGAGTAGTGTAATAAACATCACGCTTCACCCCCTCTCTGCCCTCATCATGCGGTGTTGTCTTCCCACCGCTGCCTCGCTCAAAAACACAATTACACTCTGCATACTACTGTGGATCCCAGTAAACACAACACTATGCTACGACGCTGCTCTGCTAGCTGAGCCAAACAGCCGCGCTCACACACTTCCAGACACAACAGAGAGCATTTCTCTGGTTATACAGTACATAGACTGCTGGTGGTGGTTTTCTACAGGCCAAAGAGCAGACGGTCTGACTGAGCTGTATCAAATCTCTAACACTATGAGGTCGTACAAACACATGAACTGGATGACTCGCGTAGTAGTCTTGGAGCTCAACACGCTGCTGACAGCTTCTGAATGGAAACCAAGTAGTGGGAGCTATTTCTATGCTCACACACAAACACAAACTAGGTAACTTCATTTTACTGGTGGTTTATGCAGGCATGTAAAACAAATCAAAGTAAAACTTTTTTTTTAAGTCTCGAAGAAATCTTGTCAATGAGAGAACCTCAAACAAATAAAACCCGGAAAATGTGAAAGCCTGTGTAAACTTTGGATATCCTCTGTTACACTCAGGGGGCAGCCTGACCCGAAGCGACAGAACAGATATTTGATTTCCTGCCAGGTTTCCAAGCCCTAACGTGAACTGACTTAAGATTTTGATGCACAGACGTATTTTTACAGCCGTCCTTGTGTGGACCTTTCTCTCCTTAACCTCTACGCCAACAGGGAAATGCCATTCTTAATTTTAACGTCCTTGTTTGGTAACGCTGACTGCAAGATGTGCTGCAGGAAAGTCAGCCTTAACACATAAAAAAAACCACTTTAAAAGCAGTCAGTCCCCTTAACTACTTACCGTATTTCTTATTTTTATGAATTAATTTAAGTGCCTGTCTGGAGAAATGTTGGTCTTAATGCTGGTCTCTCTTTTCTGCTTTGACCTTTGATTCACCTACAGAAACCTTGTTATAACTTTTACTTCCTCTAGATAGTCAAGTTTTATCGTCTTCTCAGCGCAAATCAAACTAATGTTAGTCTTGCATAGCCGGACCTATCTCCACACTTTGTTTAAGCGCTGCCAGTGCTGGAGATAGATCCTGCTGAACCGGTCAGAATTCCACACAAAGGAAAAGTTATTTGTTTTTTTCCCAAACCAATCACAATCGTCTTGGGCAGCCTTAAACCCAAGATGCAGTGATGTTGCCCTTAACAATACCGTGTTGGGAGAAAGCAGAAAGGGGAGGAATTTCATCTGCAACAGGCGTCCAAGGGCAAGCTTATACACACAGCCTACAACCTGTACTGTAAACAGGAAACAATATATAGATGAGCAATGTTAGAAATATGTAAGAAAGACATACATTAGTACATAAAGGCTAAAATTTCATGTCCAAAGAATGTCCACAGTTGCTAACAGAGGACCAAAGGTCACGATCAATGTTTCTCTTGAACTTTGTGTCTTCAAAACTGTGTACTGACACATGGTGTTATACAAAACTATAATCTTTCTGATTTCACCAGTGCTTTTAGCAGTTTTAATCAATATCATTCCCCCCTTAAAGGAACAGCAACCATAGCCTCCAGTCTTGCCACCAAACTGTTGGAAAGGATTGTGATCTACAAACTGGGAAAGCTGGGACAAAATGAGATTTACTGTCGTTCTGGATTTATGCAATTCTCCAGTGACATGAATCGTGTTTTCTGCAGTTTCAATGTTTCAGCAAAAAATGTGTAAAATCCAAACAATTTTTCAAAATTTGACTGATTATTGTACTTTTTTGTGCAATTGATAAATTTATTTAATTCAGAGTGTGTGATTCTGCCCCAGCCGTAATATCAAAACTTGATGCAAGAAGCCAAACTTGCAAAGAAGTTACTGCCAAAACTCCAAAACCATTTCTTAAAGGAACTCTGAAATTAGTTCTGTTAGCTTGCAATTTCTGCTCAGGTTTACACATAATGTTCCTGAACTGTACCACACACACACACAGACACACACACACACACACACACTATTTATATGTTTCTGAACTATACTGCTTTCCAAACATTATTTGTCCACAGCAGTGCCATGTTGGTGCCCCATATGGACAAAGATCACTAGGGGGTTTGAAACAAGCCTCTGCTGGTCAGAGGTGCAGAAACACAAACACATACATCCATCTCTCGCTTACAGTTGGTCCAGAACGCCACTGCTCGTCTGCTGACTGGTACACGTAAGCAAGAGCACATTAGTCCTGTACTGGCCTCCCTCCATTGGCTTCCTGTGCGATATAGGATTGATTTCAAAACTCTGCTGTTTGTTTTCAAGTGCCTTAACGGCTTGGCACCCATCTACCTCTCCGACCTGCTGGAACCCTATGCCCCTCCAAGGTCCCTCAGGTCCTCCAATCAGCTTCTCCTGGTCGTCCCTAAATCCAGGTTTAAGCTCAGGGGAAATCGGGCTTTCGCAGTGGCAGCTCCAAAACTTTGGAACGAGCTGCCTCTGCATGTCTGCAGTCTGCAGTGTTTAAATCACGCCTCAAGACACATTTTTATTCTTTGGCTTTTTCAAGCACAGCCTGAGTGACTGGTGTTCTTCATGTGACGCTGTGTTTGTTCTATTTATGAGTTGTGATTGTGCGTTGTTACTTGTTTTTTTTTTTTACTTGTAAAGCACTTTGGTCTCAGCTCTGTTGTTTTAAATGTGCTATATAAATAAATTGGTATGGTATGGTATGGTATACAAACACAAGTTTGTTGATTTACCTTGCTCTCCGATTGGTTCAGCTCAGGTGCCTTGGCTGTGGCGTCCAGATCAGTCACCCCTCTATTGAGGTTTAACTCCTCTGCTGCTGACACCTGGCTCGTCTCCTCCGCATCGATATCCGTCTCCTCTGTGACAGTCGCCGTCTTCTCTGCGCCTGTTAGTTCCCGAGCTGAGCCGAGGAAAGTACACACACATACAGGTGGATAAGCACGCACGCCTGCATACACACATGTGGACATGGGCATGTACACAGGCACACATGGGCGGACACACATGAATACATTCAAGTAAGAAACATTATCCACAGCACCACAGAATACTGTATACATGATCATGTGCTTTAATAAGACTGTAGCTTAAATATATGTCCTAACTGTTCAGAGGTACAACACGCAAATAAGAGCTGTTAGAAAATGCAAAAAAAAAAAAATAAATAAAAAAATAAAGTATACAGTGCTGCCAGCGCTCTCGTTTCATGGGAGTTTCCATTTTGTGTTTTGAGTTTTTAAACTGTGCTCTCATTACTGTTAATACATTTTTAATGGGACAAATTGGACCAGATTGGATACAGACTGTGTTTTCTCTGAAGCAGATATCATTAACAAAGGAGATCAACAGTATTTCCCGTGTATGAGACAAAATCAATGCAGACTGCAACAAAACAGTTTATGAGGAGCACTGGTACTATTCTTTTTCTGCCCTCCACACTTGTTTGTTGCAAGAAGAGTCTTTAAATTACCTTTGGTAAAGGAAACAATTAAGCTGGGGGATATTGAAAACCCAAATATCACAATACTTTTATTCAAATATCTCAATATTGATTTTGCAGCAACATTGTAGGGTCTGTTGGTGCTTTCACAAGATATTTCCACAATGAGATTTTTGACAAATAATAATCGGTAATGTGGATATAATGAGTAAATTGGCAAAGGCTAATAGTACAACAGCTAGAGCAGTCTGGCAAGTTGGGAAAATTACATCACTTTACTGTAATATCAACCTTTAAAACCAGGAAATAATACACTTGCAACATTCAAAATCTAGGACGATATCTAGTGTCATATAACAATAATGGCATAATATAAATATATTGCCCGGCTGTAGAAACCATCTGATTCAGTTCAGTAAAACAGTCAAAAGCTGCTAAAATCTGTAGCAGATCAGTACACTGAAACACTTGAGCAATAGTGTTTGAGTGTATTGTTTCAATACAAATATCCTACATTTTAAATCCATTCCAATAAAGTCAACACGAAAAAAGTCTCATTTCTACCAAGAGGTCCCCTGTTGATTTCATTAAATGGACACTGAAAACCTTCCCAGAATCAAAAGACTGCCTTTGCCTTCAGCGTTTTGTTGAATATTTTACTATTTCATTTTGAGTTGCCTCACCATGGCAATTCACCAGAAAACAACTATAATGCTAGTTGTCAAAGTTACTTCTTCTCCTGACTACAAAGCCTGAGGCTGTGTATAACCTCACTCAATTCAAAGTAAACTGTATAACAGGGGAAATGTAAGGTGCCACTCTGCTAGTTGTGATGCATTTTCTTGTTTAAGCATAGTTATTGACAACAGCCCACGAGATAGAATTGCATTTGCTTCCTGGCAACTTGACTGTAGCAGAAATATATGATTGCCTGGATCCACTGGGGCCGTGCTCACTAAAGTGGCAAAGCTGTTTCTATCCAGAATAGGTGGCAGTTACTAACATTCATTCAAGGCTGCCTCTCACACAGCTTCATATGATACGTTTCATTTAAAAAAGCAATCACTTTACAACAACTACTCCAAAGAAGAAAGGATCTAAGTGGGTATAATTACTCACTTTATTTGCTAAGTGGAATGCATTTATTTATGAAACAGCAAAATCATACACTTGAATTCAAATAATGAGCAAATAACAACAGGTAAGTCTTCTCATCCACCATAGGTAAAGTGGCTGCACACTTCATATACTTTTTACAGAACTAAAGCCTCAGCATTTACAGCATCATTGCATTCATTGTGTGTTTAGTAACAGCAAGTTTATGTGAAAATATGGCCAGAGATCAATACCACTCTTACGTCACTGTGTTATGAACAGAAATAAAGTCAGGATGTAGTTAGCCTCGCTTAGCATACAGACAGGAAGCACAGGGAAACAGCTAACCTGGCCTTCTGCAAAGCTCAAAAATATGCCTAGCGACACATCTAATGCTCACAAATTATTTGTTGGATCTCAATAGTTTAATCCATAATGATGCAATGCCTGTTTGGTATGGACTGATTGCTTGGCCTTTGGTATTGCTGCTTACACCTTTCTCGAGAACAGCTCATCCAAACAAATTCAATCTTAACATTGCTGTTTCTTAGGTTCTGAGAAATACACCTGCCCTAACATAGTTCCATTCCCTCGTAATGCTAGAGTATACACATCATCTAATAACAGCTAAGGATTTTTAGACTAAGTTGTTTTCGGGAACAAAAGCCCTAGTTCCGAAATTACCATCAATGATGATGAAAATGTTTGCGTTTGTTTTAATGTAACACGTCTGGTCTCTTAGCTCTCTTTCCTCATTTGTTCCTGAATGTACTGTAGCTAGCAACGGTGAGTGAGCTGTACCCTGAGTGCTGTTCTGTTGTGTTACAGTTAATAGGCATCCCATCTCAATACACTGCACAGTGTGTACTTCTGTACTACAAATAAATATGTCCTGTTGAGCTCAAGAGCTCACACACAACACTGCACCTCCCGGGGTCCCCAGCAAAACACCCAAATGTAACGTTGATCAGATAAATGGTTGTCAAGAAAATCAAAGGACATAGAAGTAGAGTTTGAAATTAAGTAGGTATGAGGTATTAATGCTTAAAAATGCTGTTGTGGAAAAATGATTCAGTATGAAAATGCTTGAATGTCGTCATGTATAATAACAGTAATTATTTGAATGTATGATGCATCCAGGGTCATGGTTTAGGTACTGCCGGCCTCAGCGCCCTTCACTGTCTGCATGCAGGCATGCGAGGAGGCCCCAGAGTGTCTGAAGGTTAAGATACTGATGAGGACCTTGTAGATGTCTAGACATTTTAAATACACTATATATGGCTGAGTTATTGGGTGTGAATGCTGGAAGCATTCAAACCCTATGTTCTTCTGTTACCAAAATTCTTTATTTTTCTTATTATTATTCTTCTGCTGCGTTTTTCAACTTCAATTATCTTCAACATACTTCAACCGATTCAAACCATTCAAATTTCTTCTGATTCAGCTTCATTAGGACATTATTGGAAACTTTCAGATTTTTCCATAACATTCATACTTTCCCGGTAATTCAACGTTTAAATTCCGATTCCTATTAAATCCAATGGAACGAAAACGGTTGGACCGCTACTAGTTCCACAAACTTCAACTGATTCAAACCATTCAAACATGAAAACGTTCAGCTGAATTAGGACAAGACCGGAACGACTCTTCACGTTCCTAACATTCATACTTTCCCAGACATTCCAGATTTTTCCCAAATCGCTCATCTTCACCTGCACATCACAAATTCATACATTGACGTAGAAACTCCATTCCAACTCTCAAACGTTGACGCTGTTGTCGACTTTCAGGAACTAATTATATTTTCAATATCTCTTTTAGTTTTTCTACAAAGTCAGTTTAAAATACATGAAGTTTTCAGCCCTTCTCAGACTTTATAATGGGTGTGTATTGCGTGAGCTAGAGTGGGTGATGTCATCACTAGAGTGGAGAGCAGCTGTAAACTCATCAAGAAATTTTCTCTTCAACTCGCTCATATGTCCACAATTTTCACTGAACATACACAATTTATACCAAAAAATGTAGGAAAATTTGTCCTGGTCACAGAAATGTTGACATGGAATCTGTCACACATACACATTTTTGCTGAGTGGCTCCAAAGCGAAGGGAGTGCTGTTTTTTTCTCATTCACTCCCATGTAAACTGAGAGGAGAAATTTCTGGAAACAGCTGAACACATTTGCAACTCGCTCCTGTGACCACATTTTTGACTCTAGAAATATAAAACATGACACGTGCATTCACGAGAAGTTTATCTCTCTCACCATCACTTTATTTTCATTATTGGACCAACGGTTTGGGTATTGGAAGAACTTGTTCGAGGAGTTCAAACCCATTATAAACAGCCTTTGCTGATGTGCTCTCTCATGAGCTCTCTGTGTGCCCCTCAGGTGCAGGCAAGTCATTAATCGCCATGACAACGGCTGCACACACAGACACGCACACACAGCCCTCTGTGTGTGTCTCACAATCTTTAAAGGACTGATTACAGCAGCAGAATCTTCATTTGAAACAGCAAATACACATTATTAATCCCTAAAGTGCCAAAATGGGCTCTCTAGCGCCACCTAGGCACACTAAAATGGCCACTGCGGCCCGTAGGAATGTCGTAGACGGATCAAACCAAAACTGGTGTGTTCGACCTACAAATCACGCGCTGACACCCATGACCTAAATCCATCAGGAAGTGAGCTATTTGCCCTTTCAAAGTAAGATTTCACCTCAAACGTGCACTTCTTCAAAAAACATCTCCTCCTACACTGTTTATCGCCTTCAAACACGCACACATGCCAGCTCAACTGCTGCTAAACAGATCTTCTGTATAACTTTTTCTCTCTCACCATTACTTTATTTTGATGATTGGACCAACGGTTTGGGAATGGGAAGAACTTGTTTGAGGAGTTAAATCTCCACTAAAAGAGGTCTCTTCTCTGTGTTCTGTCTCTCTCTCTCTCTGCGCTTCTGCCAGGTGCACCTACTTATTTACCATGGCTGTCACACACAAACTCACAGAAACATGATGTGTGTGCGTGTCTACATCTTACATGCAGACATGACAGGGGCACATTCTCCATTTTAACCCTTTAGGTGCCAGAGTTTATTGAGGAAAATATTCCATTTTCATTTCAACATTTCAAAAGGCTGTCGCTTGAAAGTGGTGAGAGATAAAGGCATACTGTAAATGAGAAAACTATTCATCATGATTTTTTGTTTTTTATGGGAGTATATTAACTCATCTAATTTGCATATTGTGTCTTCACTAGGCGGCAGCCATATTGGATTTCATAAATCTCAGTAAAACAGCATTTTGAACATATTTACACAGTAGATTTCTTTTGTTTTGTGCTGTTTTTGTCATCTCATCCTCAAAAAAAGGGAGGGGAATCTGATGGGAGTAAATTAACTCATCTAATT